CTACGTTTCATGAACAGTGACCGATCAGATCATACGTCGGCTTTTCTACTTGTTTGTTTTTGATTTTCTGATATCTTCATTGTTGAAAATTTTTCATTATACCAAACATTCTGCATTTTAAAAATCAATTTAACATTTCACAAAATCCAACGTTGAACTTATACTCCAAGTAAGCAAGTTGTCAAATGCAAGATGCAACAAATAAGACTACCCTGCTTATTAATCTTCAACAATCTTCACTGTGAGGTTGCGAGCAGTCTGTTATCTCCGGCATCACGTCTACCTTCATGACCTCCATATCAATCGTAACTTTTCATGCTCGCCAAATTATTTCAAATGGATTTCCTGTACTCATAACACTGCGCAAGCATGAACTGACCAACATCAAACCACATGTGCACTCTTACTTCCACACGCACGCACGCACAAACACACATAAATATACATATATATATATACATATATATTTGGAATGGTGTAATAGTTAAGATGCCTGACACTGTCGCAATGACTAGGTTCAACTGCAAAAAAGTTCATGCTCTCACTTGTAGTGTACGTTACACATAGATTTATGCGTTTTTACATTTGATGTGTGTGTTGTTGATATTGCTGAGAAGTATTAAAGCAAGAATTTAAACTAATTGAAAATATTACAGAAGTGATATATACATTATATATAGGCGGCGTGATGGCTCAATGGTTATAGGCGCCTGGTCTTGCTATTGCAATGACTGGGTTCAAATACAAAAAGATCCCCGCCTATCAAATGCAATGTGTATGATGCGTGGTTTGCACGCGTATTCATATATGCTGTGTGTGTTTTTCGTTGAAACCTCTGAAGCTAACGCAAAAGAGTGAGAGTAAACTTTAACCTTTAACATTACAAAAAGGATATAAATACAAAGCAGAGATAAACATATTATGTTTTCAGTATTAAAGATGATTGCACATCGCCATATATATTTAAATTCTAAAAAACCCGATTTAAAAAAATGTTTTAGAATAAAAAACAAATTCATATTAGTAACACTTTCCGGATGAAAATATCTGCTTGTCACTAGGTGAAAGCTCAACATTTAGTAAGTAATATTTAAAAATCAAATAATAATTGTTAGATGAAATAAGTTAACAAAAATTTTGTCAAATAAAAAAGCGAAATATTTTGAAAAAAAAATTAAAAAATGTATGAAACGATTGTTAACTTAAAGAGAATTAAATTTACATTTATGGGGGTCTACAACTAAAAATTTTCAAACATCAAGTTAGTTTCCAGTTGGAAAGAAGTCATCACAACAATGACGATAGACGAGAAACTGGAAGCATGTCCATCACATGTCATCTGTTGAACAATTAAAATAAATCAGTTTATAAATGCAGTTTTGCTCTGCGAATTTGTTCTGCAAATTTTCGAAATAATACAATCATGTCCCAACTTGATTGTAGCAAATTGAAAAAGCTTTAAACTGATTATTACGAATTAATTATAAAGGGTCACACATCACAAGAAAATAGCATGATGATGACAATATTAACTTTCATATAATTGAAAAATTTTTCATAATAAGTTAGATAATAATAAATAAATAAATAATAAATATATAAAAATAAACCAGCGCAATAAGCGGAGTAACAGCCTGGTGTATCGGGCAGTCTGTAGACATAATAACCACCGCAGTTGAAGATGTTGATGTACCACCTTCGAATGCAACAGTTGCCGGCCAAACTCGCACACACCTCACGAATTGCCTCCTCTCCAGCTTCAGTTGGATGTTGGGTATCTGACATCATTGAAATTTTACACACACACATTATATTAAACTCGTGATTTATTGTTAATTAACAATTAATTAAAAATTTTATGAAAAACTTATTATTTAATGGAATATCATATCTCATATGTTACGTAGATGGTTGGGTTGGGCATTCAAATAAACAGGAGAGTGAGTGCCACAGGAATATTCTTCGGCACATTCACTTGGCAGCATTCCATTTAAGCCATTCCTCTTCTTGAACCTGTACCATCTATTCCTCATAACTCTGTCACATAAAACTTTCCCAGACAGTCCGTAATCAACGACATTGCTCGTCTGACGGTCTTCGTAATAAATGACCGTGTTATTCCTACACGGGTGATTAGAAGCTATGCGGAATAAAATTTAAAACAGTATTTATATGTATTAACAAAGTTAAATATTGTAAAACCAACGAACAAAAATTCACATCTGCTGAAGCAAAAAATGTGAGCACCACAAAATCTGGAAGGAAAATAATTTTAAGATAAGTTAAGTAAATATTCGTAAATAATTATTCATAAGGTCGTGAAATAAAGAATAGAAGTACTTAATATAATTAACCAGAACTTCATCGCGAATGTTGAAAAAGAAATTACGAATTTTCAGATCTTCGTAGAGTCAAAGGAGTTAGTTTATGGTGCGAGATAGCTTAATAGTTCGTAAACAATTGCAATGATGGCGATGATGATGATGATGACGACGACGACGATGTTTGTTGTTAAGGATAAAAGTACAGTAGATGATGCATAGTAAACAAGCGAGTAAGCAGCAACCATTGAACCAACTTAATATGATTTGAAAATATATTGTCACAAAACATTGAAAGAGTGCTAAAAATTAAAAAAAAAATAGAAAATATTAACAATCAAGAAAATAATGATGAAAATTAAGAATAGAATTACGATCATTGTATCTTTGAGGAAGGATACGTGATAGCTTATTTAAGATATTATATAATAACAATTGTTATAACGTTATAAAAACAACGTGTAAGTATATTAATGAAGAAAATGAATGTGTCTATTGAGAATGTATTCGTTTTCATGTGTATACTTTTTACAGATACTGCGTTGCATTCATAGATAGGTACATAGATAGATACATGGATACATAGATGGGTACATAGATAGATACATAAATAACATAGATAGATCATAGATGGATCGTTATGAACGATGACGCATAAAACAAACGGACAAACGGTAGAATGATGACGATGAAGACGATGATAATAATATGATACTGATGATGGTGGTGGTGGTGGTGATATTAATAGTAATGATAGTTGTGATAATGACGATAACAAATTTTTTAACTACTGATTGAAAGTTTCAATGAAGCTGATATATGCGTTATGGCGTTCAAAGTGGAATGAATTTTATTTTTGAGGATTCTACTGTTGCTAAGTATTTCCTACTAACTATTCAATGTGATCTTTCGACTTCGATCGTGTTTACAGTTTATTCATAAGCGCAAAAGTTTGGAAGTGTAAAATTTATTTAATTTCATCAAAATTGTAAGTAATATTTTAAAGCTGGTTGTTTTACATGTCTCTAGATTTTATTCCAGTCATAAACTGCAAGCGTTTTAAATTCGCGATGCGTTTTTAATTTCTTCCACAGTTATTTCAACTTAACTTTTTGTTGGGGAGTTTTTTTTCTGACTAGAACTTTAAACATCTTTTCTGTTTTTTAAAATAGTTTTCACACAATACAAAATTATTTTACTTTATTTCATATTGTTTAAACATATTTCCATATATGTTACAATATAAATAATTTGTTTAATATTCGGTTCTGAAGACGGCACTCTGACTAAACAATATTGGCGGCCAAATAATTCATTTTTGAAAAAAGATTTTTTTTCTATAGACCGTTGTCTTTAAAATAAAAACTATAAAAACTATTTAACATGCAATGGGGTAATAGATTTAATAAAATATATATATTAAATAAAAAATTCCTAAAAAAATCAGGATCTGACAGACGCAGAAACTGTTACTGTATGCAAGGCAATAGTATAAAATAGTAACGAAAAAAATGAATAAATGAATAAATAAATAAATGATTATAAAATGAATGGAAAATAAGAAAACGGGAGAAGAAATGTGATAACATCAGAGCTTTCATCGAATTCAGCCGTACACATCTTTTTCGTATTTATTCACGTATGATATATGCACGGTGATGATGTCTACATCTTATAGGCATACGCTCAAGCAGCAAAATATCTGAAATAAGCTGGTGCTGTTGGAAGCAGGACATGTTGTGTACGCTTGTGTGCAACGCAATTGTCCATCATTGGATCGATGTACAGTACATGTGCGTCTGCTGAAGCTACCACAAGAGGCAATGCCGACTCGATAGAAATAATAAATGTTTCGATAGTTTTGAGCAGTTTTTCATGAATGTTAACAGAAATGAAATCGATTGTCGGCGGTGTCGTTTTATCAATTTTATCGTTAACCTGGATAAATATTTTTGCATTCTCGGTTAGATTCTGTTATAATATTGGTTTGATAGATTAAAATAAGTTAACTAAATTTTTATTTTAAGAGCAATCAACACGTTTGCACGCTAAGAGAAGGTTTAGAAAAATTGAAAAATCCATGCTCAAAACGTGAGTTCTTATAAATGTTTTCTAATAACAAAACTGCTAATAGTCAATAATTTGGCTCATCAATTAGCTAAGTTGTGATTTAACTAACGGCTGAGCTTTGGTCTGTTTCAAATGCCAAATTAATCCTGACATTCCCATGCTCTTGGTAACATATAGTATAGTAATGTACGCATATATGCATAAAAAATCAGTTTTAAAAATTTTGCGTGTGAGTGTAATGCAAAATTGTGTATTCAAAAGACAACATATTTTCAAAATGAATAATAATGAAAAAATATTTATCTATCTATCTTTTGTTGGAACAAAAATATATAAAATTGTAGATCAGGTTAAGCAGAAACACGACTCAACAAAATCGATTAGATTTATATGAAATGTAATTGTTAACTCCAAGTCTACGCAATATTTTTTAACGTAGAATTTCAGCGCTGGCAATTAGTGCCTTATAAACTCCACTGAAATGGAAGTGTTCGAACGAATATCATCAACCCTTCTTTTTTCTCAACGGGTGCCACTTAAATGTTTTTTTTTGTAAGATCGTTTACTTCAACGTTGATAGAAATTATAGGCACTTGAAATTGCATAAAAATGGCAAGGACTCTATGTATCAATTTATCGAACCTTTTTTTATGCAAATTAAGTGGGTTAGTCCTTGAATGTACAAAAAGCTTTAAAATGTTAAATTGACTGGTGTGCATGTCTCTACATTTATGAAACTGCCGACCCTAAAAAGTGCCACCATTTGCGGCTGCCTACACTGCTTTTACTTAAAGTTGGTTGTCTTTTCATAAGGTAATGTGGGTTGCTTAATCCGTTAATCGTATCTGAACTTTTCTCGTTCTATAACAGTGCAATTTGAGAATTACGATGAATCTTTACTGTAAATGAAAAACAGAAATTTTTTCCTCATTTAATATTTATGCGATTTTCCAACAGTCAGTGTGTTGAAAAAAATTTGGAATGAGAAATCTCAAATGCTATCATTTGGTTGTGGAGACAAAGAACAAATTATAATACTTGCCAGCTCCTTCAATGCCAACATTGCCAACAAAAGTATCGGTTGTGATTTTTAAATTATTTCAACCATTTTTTTCAATTTTTTAAATAATCAGTTAATTGATAAAATTAAATAACAAAAGAATTAACGTAAATTCACAATTTTCGATTCAATTGTTCGGTGAGCTTCAAAATTCATTAGCAAATTAACATTTTCAATAGAAGCACTACAAAAGAAATGCCAAACGGAATGTTTGAATGATATCGTTCTCCGTGAGTGCAGTGGAAGAACTGAGTGTCACCTCTCGTACGATGCTTTGTTGCAAGGTTCGATCATGCAGAGGTGCCCCAATGCTTCTAAATCTGGCAACATCATCATTGAATATATTTGCGGTATGCTTTCGTGAAAATTAATACGATTATAAAGTATCAAACATTTATCAATGTTTTTGCAGACAATTCAATACAACAACTGACTTCTTGCAAAAGCCCGGTAATTAAGAATTTGATGGTGTCTCCAAGTAAAACCAATGAGCGAAAAAGGTTTCATGATGCTCTACCACTCCAATTAAAGTTAACAAAACAATTCTTACCTTCTCTATTTTCTTCCTACGTATCAGCCATTAATAGGAACATTCAATCTTTTAAATTTACAAAATTCAATCATTTGTTACTGAAAGCACTGAAAAAATTTAAATTAACCAACAATGCTTCAAATGTGAGTAGCAACAATTCCAGAGATCACAGACATCAATTGGAAAGTTTCAACGGACCACGCAATCATCATCTAAACAGCTCAATATACTCAACATTACCAGAACATCATGAAATTTATAACAAAACGGGAAAGCACATTGAGTCAAATATTATGGAAAATCTTAATATCACCAGCACAAAATTTGATGGAAGAGCAACAAAGCATGGTCTGGAAAAATCCAGGATGTTTTTCAAGAGAAAACGCGTTTCACCAAAAAGGGAAGTTAGACAAAATCTAACAGGTACAAAGTTTTTATTAACAACTGAAAAATGAGATAAGGATATGCACAAAAATTGTGTATTACTAACGTATTAAAATGGAGAATTATGAATTTGTTTCATGAAATAGTGCAAGTTGTTCCATACTAACGCTTTTGTTTCTAAAACTCAAATTTGTTGATGTATATAAACAAAACTTTAGAAAATTAAAAAAACCTTTTATTGACCCTTTAAAACAACGGAGATCTCATAAATTTTTTATTATTGAAACTATAAATGTTTCAACATGACTGCGGGTTCGGAGAAATTTGAAAGATTCAATTTTGATTGAAGAAGTCGGAACCAAAAAAATTTATTCAACTTTGATATTATCAAATCGTAAAAATGTTAACGTTTATATTATAATAAATGATAAAATTGAGAAAATGTTTACTGAAATCCGGTGATCATGTTGCGAAAATTTTCAAATATTTTGAAGTATATTTTTTAAGGCACGCGCCATAATTAAGGTACGTGCATCGTGTGCTGGGCCTTAAGACATTCAGCACACTCATTAAAGGCTAGAATGTTTTCCGTAAAAACATAAATTACGAAAAACTTCATAAACATAAATACGGCTTTTTTGCTCAATACTGGAACTTGCTAATGATTTGCATACTTTTTCAAAAATGTTTGCAGTAAAACTTCGTTATAACGTATTTTCGCGGACCGATAAAATTACATCATAATCAAGGTACGTTTTAACACAGGCGAGCGTTTTTGGAACTTTATAAGCAAACGTTATCTGCAAATTATTTTGTTCGTAAGTTTGTCTTTTGGCAATTTTAAAATAAAAAGTTTAAATTTACGCATTCTTTTTTAAATGTTTTTGTGCATCAGTGTGGAGAACTATGAATGTGAAGAATCATGTATAATTTAAATTAAACTTTTGTCCAGTCAATTTTGGCATAACATCATTTGAATCCACGTAGACAACAGTACCGAACTTATGATGGATGAAAACCAATTAAATGATACAACACCGAAAATAACATTTGTTAGCAGACAGATGATTAAATGGATCATTTCTTGGAAAGAACCTAAAGAGATTAGCAAATTTATTAGTTGTTAGTTTACAAATGCTGTTGTTATCATTAATCTTTTAATTAAATCTATCCAATTGTCCCCGACAGTGAACAAAGAAAAGTTTATCCTGTATTTGATCATTTTCATCTTCATTGGAGTATGGACTGTCACCATGGCAATTATTTACAGGCTCGGTCAGTTATTAGAAAAAGAAAAAAGGAAAGCAACAACGAACAACAACAATAAAAACGGCAACAAAGCATTGATAGAGCAGCAACAAATCGACCAGACAGCTGATAACTATCATTCCCCTGGAAACTGGAGGAACACTGAAAGCGAAAGTTCCACTGCTGATGACAGAACTTTGAGAGACGATGAAGTGATTTTAATAAAATAGTTTACAAAACTTGCATTTAATTTTAAATATTCAATCAAACCAATAAAAATAGATAAAAATTTTTGAATGGTAGATTTATTTTCTATATCATGTATTATCAAAGTAATTCGTCTTGAAATAACAACTTTTTTAAAATAAATTATGATCTAATTTAATTTGTACAATTTTGCAAAGCACGGTGATATGAGCAATATGGAAAGGTCTGACTCGAGAAATATCATGTGCTCCAACATCATGTCAGCAGATGATAGGTCCTCAAAAGAGTCAAACACCGCCAAAATGAGCATAGAGAACGACGATAAAGATAACACTGCCGATAAAGCAATACTCCAATCGACGTCTTCACCAGAATCTTCCATTATGAACGAATCAACGACACACCAAGCAACAATAATCAGCCAACCTTCCTACATCAACGCCAACATCCCGCTGCCCTCACCTCCAACTTCACTCATGTTTGAAAGGTCCTCGCCATTGCAATCTGCTGATGCAAACGACCCATCCAATTTCACCGATGCAGAAATCATCAACTACATACCTATCGATAACGACAATTAAAATTAATTGGCTTTGTAAGGTCGCTGAAGAGAAAATTTAATAGATAAATTTAATTTGTGGACTGAAAGTTTAATAACTTTAATTTTAAATTTTCACTAAGCATATTATGCATGCTCTTTTAATTGCTTCTATTTGGGATCTTAAGTAATTGTGTTAACAGTTGAAGCAACGGACAGATGTAATTCAATTGAATGAATGCAGAAAATCACGAGAAAACAACACATAGACACCTGCAGGACTTTACACTTGACGCTGAATACAAATGTCTATTTTTATAGATAATTTATAATGTTTTTGTAACAAATTTTTAATAATTCAGGTACTAATGATTTAGTAAGTCCACACGAATTTATATACCGTAATAACCACTAGATCTTTTGTTTTCATCTCGTTTAAAGTACATTTATAAATCTTGTAATGTTCAAGAGTTACCTTTCAAGTTTAAATTAGATAACAATTTTCATTCATACAGAAACGACGCATTTAGTTTGGTCATAATCATGTTAAATGTTTGTTAGATTGATATTAACATAGTTCTAGAAGATGTAAAGGTATTTTTCAATTAATTTTGCGTTGCAGACGGTCTTTTTTGTAATGGTACGTTTCTTTTTTCATAAAACCGCAACATTTTACATCAATATTGTATTGTAAAAGTGACGATGTCGTTGTTTATTTGTGCACTGTTAAATTTGTATGTGTCGTATTCTCAAAGCTGAGTTGTAAACTCATCAACTAAACTTTGAATTAAATAAAATATTCAAGACGTTTGAGCAGAATAAAATAAAGGTGAATTAAAAAATAACTGATATAAGAGCAAACTACATAGGTGTAATAATTAATACCAAAATCGAATATATATATAGTGGCCCGTATCAATCTACTGTTAGTCGTGCACATATGAAATTTTATTCTATACTAAAATTTTAAATCATCAGTTATAAGTTTAGAAAAGTTAACATGTTTACTTATTATTTATAAAAATGCTTGTAAACTTGATAAATAACATTGAAGGTTAAAAGAGTCGTGAACAACATAACATTTTATAATTTAAATATTGCATACGATATCATTTTGGGGTTTTTATCAATTTTTGTTTTATTGAGAATGTTTCGCTTTTTAAAGTCGTCAAGCAGTTAATGCTTTTTTGTCTGGCTTTCTTTTGAAACAAAATATCAAAACCAAGGACATACACAGAAATTTGCCGACAGGCGTTGTTACAAAGGCTGACTTAATTTTTAGCCATTATTAAGCAAGAAAGTTACATTATATATTTTGAATTTAAGATTTCCAATTTAATGAAAAAAGTCAAGCCAGTTTTTCTAAAATTTCAAAAAATTTTAATTTTAAAATTGGATGAACGTATGAATGGATGGATAGATCGCGGAATGGGCAGGCAGACAGACAGACAGACAGACGGACGGACGGACAGGCAGATTGATAGATAAAATGTTGGATAGACGTTTTTTGACTTGTTAGAGCAAAATTCTTCCCTGAAAGAACGTTATCAGTGTGTAGACGCGTATTATTTTTGGACTGATCGATGAATCATTCAATAGAGTTGATCAATAACTTCTGCTTAATGCGCCACGAGTCGCCACAAAATAGAATAGAATAGTAAAAATGTATGTATCTTTTTTATTATTGTTACAGAATTTATAAAAAGAATTTTAAAACATATAATGATATCAAGTTAACAGATTAATTTTCAATTAACAAAATTCTAACAAAAAAGAAACAGCAAAACACTTTTTGGCTGCCACGATCTCTCCAATCTCATCCACTTCATCATGAAAATAAGAAAGTGGCTGCATTCCAGCAACGTGGATACGCAGGCAGCATGTAAGAAATGCAGGTGAGTTTATCGTACACACGTCAAACATTCAATTCCAACGTTTACTTTTAGCTCATTTGTTTGCCAATTTTACTGCAAGTTGTTTAATTTTGTTTATGAATCTGATACATAATTTTTTTCTTAATTAGGTAATCAATCATGTTTAGCATCAAGTTTTTGTGTTTTACAATAATTAAAACATGGGAAATAAACAATCTAACGCAAAAACATCACCAACAAAACAAAGTAAGCGAGAACCAAAAAAATTCACTAAAAACGAAAACGGATTAAAAATAAACTTTTTTCAACAAATCTCAAACAATAGAAGAAAAAGCTTGAAAAAAAGTTGTAATGGAAATCTTTCACGGCATACAGAAACTTGCAAAGATTGGGAAAATCCTTCAAGCTCATTTAATGATAATCCTTCAAATTCATTTAATTCTGTCAGAAAAGAGGCTACGATAGAATATAAACTATATAAATCCTTAACCAACGTAAATGATTTGACATCTATTGAAAGCAGAACATCACCCCAGACAACAGGATCAAACGCAAACATTAGAGTATACAGAAATACATGTCCAAAGGCCATTTCTTCATCCGGTTTAAAAAGAAACACTATAACAAATAATAAAGATTACATTTTTTCTAAAAATGCTCCCAAAAAACAATCGGCTGAAGGTAATTTTTTTTAACTATTTAACTTAATTTTATATTGCAAGCTGAACGCAGACTCAGTTTTGCTGTGACTCAAACGTCCCAGTGACTACAGATCTACAGAATAGCGCATATCAAATGAAGCAATCCGGCCATAGCATACATTAGGCTTATCAAATACTAAAATCGTTTGAATAAAACGCAACTGCTACGTACAGAGCTCAAGTACTGCGGAATTCTGCAAAAATCTAGTACATACAAATTCTATGTTCAATAGAGATATTGCACATATTTTTATTTTTCCTTAAACTTTCCATACTCCGTTTTAGATTTGTCAAGCCTTTTAAGATGCAGAAATGGAAATGCCCGGGGAAGCAGCATATCCTTGCATCGGTCGTCAGTTAAAAGAATTAGGAGCAACATCAGCTTCAGCAGCATTGATTATAATGGTTTGTTTAATATAATAATAATAATAACAAAGTTTAAAGTGGTTCAGTAGACTAGCATCTGTGTAAGAACCACTACAAAATAAATGTCTTAGTGTCCTAGCTCTCTTGGCTTGATTTTAAAATTGTTGATTGAATTCGTTGAGACAATTTCATCGCTCAGCTCGTTCCAGGCGTTTACCACCCTGCTGCTGAAGAATCTTTGCTTTATTGGATTTTCTGTCTTCTTGAGGACCTTGTATTTTTCTTTTTTTCTAGTTGGAAGAACCTGGTGAACGGTGTTTCTTCTTTTCCAGTTATTACAAATGTCTGAATTAAATCTTTTCTGCATCTTCTCCTTTCTAGTCTTGTTAACCCGCATTCTTTTAGTCCCCATATTCTAGTTTTCCAACTCCTTCGATCATTTTTGTTGCTCTATCCGTTCAAGAATGTCTTTGTCCTTTTGCTGGTCCGGACTCCAAACCTGTGAACAGCACTTGAGATGTGGGCGATGATCGGCTTCTCTCTGCTTACCACCGTTCTTCTAGCACTTTCAAGTATTTGATTTGCTTTGGCTGCTGCCAAAGTACATTGTCTTGATGTTTTCGTGCTTTTATGAGTAATGATTCCGAAGTCCTTTCTTCTTCTCTAAATCGAAGGTCCTTACTGCCCAGTTGATATTGAAAGCCCTTGTTCTTTCTTTACATGTGCATGTGCATAACTCTACATTTGTCTATGTTAAATAGCATTTGCAAATCTTCAAACCATTTGTATAGTCTTGTCAAATCTTGTCTTAGTACTTCCGCATCTTCCTCGTTGTTGACCCTTGCACACAGCTTCGTGTCGTCCGCAAATTTTGATATTTTTGACATTATGCCAGAGTTGATATCATTAATGTAGGTAACAAATAGTAGAAGGCCCAGCACCGAACCTTGAGGAACTCCACTTGTGACGCTAATCCAATTTTAATTTTTGCCTTTGATCGCACTTGTTATCTTCTGTTCTTTAGCCTGAACATGTTCAGTGTTTGTCAATAATTAATTCGTTATTTTCATTTTATTCAAAAAATTTTTTAAATTTTATGTAAATAAATACTTTCATTGAAAGATTTTCCAACCGTTTCAAAAGTAAAACATAAAATGATTGCTTTCGAACGTGTTTTCACTGCTAAAGTTATTGATTTGTTCAACGAGTTAAAGACGGAAAAACAGTTGGAGTTACTGTCATATGGTGTTCAATTGAGTACAAATGGAATGAATTTCATCAGCATAAGTATTTTTGATTGCATATTTTATTAGTAACTTTAAACAAAATTAAAAAAACATTTTTCAAACAGAAAAGTATTTATCTTCGATAATTCCATCTACTGAAAATGTAAAACCGATAATAACGGAGACTCAATTTTGTTCGTTGAAAAAGTGTTTACATGATAAATTAGAAGAGAAAAGAGCTATCACTAATGTCGCTACTCAGGTCTCGTTCAACACATTTATTATTTTAAAATTTTTTATTGAATGTCACTCACAAACATTGGATCGATTGATCGATCAGCCAGCCAGCCTGCCTGTCAGCCAGACCAGCTCTCAACCAATCGATCGATCGATCCAAATTTCAACTACCTTGATTCGCATATCGCAGTTTTTTTGCTTAATAGAGTTCTTAACATACGATTAACACCTAACATACGTACACATGTATGCGTACGTGCATTTGTGTGTGTGTTGTGTTTTTCGTCGAAACTTGTACATTTGCTTCAGCAATGACACGTGGAGTTGATGCGTCTGCTATCGAACCAGGTCACCGCATTACAGAATCGGAGGCTATTAGCATTGACCCATTAAGCCCCCAATGTTGTTTAATTTTGTTTTATTTATGCTTTTTTATTAGAACGAATTAATTTCTGGTTATTATAAATAGATCTTAACAAGTTTCCTGACACAAGCGTCCAAAGAATTGTCGAGAATATTCGAATATCAAATAGGTTTGATATCAGATGGCTTGAGTCTCGACCTGTTGTGTCTCTACGCTGCAGAGTGTCTCATCAACCACATAACAACTCATAGAAACCTCTCAATGAACGTCAATTCAATTGTCCAGGCTGTTATATGGGGCTTACCAAAGAATCAAAACAAGTGGCAGAAATGCCAAATGTCCATTCTGATTGGTGACAAAGAATTAAAATGGAGACTAAATGAAATATTTTCTAAGAGTGGACTTAGAGTAGATAGTTTACTATTATGCGAAAATCTAACCGTTTGTATTTGAACCAACATTTTCATTTTTAAAAATTGTAAACGTCTGAAGTAAAAATAGATATGGAGAGTAATTATTTTTAATTGTAGGAATGTTTTGACCAAAATTTGTGGAGATTCTATTCTCCTCCACACTGCAACAACGTTCTCTACGGATACAGAGGCCTTGTGCTAGAGAAAGACTTTTTCAAGAATACTTTCCACGCTTATAAAAACGATCTTACATTTACAAATGAAGTAAATTTAAGTTACAACTGTTGATTTAATTATTTCTTAAATTATAGTTGTTTAAAAATATTTGTATTAATGCATTTTAAATGTGAACATGTTATATGCACTCACATGTTTAAACGTTCATTTCAAATATGTAAAGATTGACTTGAATCCTGATAACATTCATCAGCTGTACGTACCATACAAAAGACTAATAAGGTACCATCCCGAAGATCCATTCAACTTGCACGCGCAAAATCATTTGGAAAAAATTTTTTCCAAGTTTTTCTCTAAAAATGACTACGAATTAATAAACTGCGAACTGCAACGAACCAATGCAAAAGAACAAATTAATATAGCAGGACTAGAAACTGATGTTGAAACGAACGCAGATGATGACTGTACAAGTGATATTAATTGTGGTATTTTCGAGAATTCTGTGCTAGAAAATAAAATGATCGCACCGAACAAAACCGACAAAACACATTTTGATATAGCAACAACCAACAAGAACAAAATTTCAAATGTTCCCAACAATACGAAAGTGACAGATACTTTATCTACTTTGCAAACAACTCTGCGACAGCCACAAACCACGACGTTTGATAGCGTACTTCCTAACCTTTCTGAACCTGGATATTTAAAACCAAATTTAACCATCCCAAATATAACAATAAGTTCTCGTCGATCCTCTCGGGTTAGTATCGACAACACAGAAAAGCCAGTATTGAAGTTCTGCTTTACGCCAGTGAAGTCGTCAAAACTGGTGGAAGGGCAATCATACTTTTCTTCTCATCATTTAGATTCGATTGAACTTCAAGACATGTACCATGCCACAGAAGAATCACAACATTACACAACGACGAGAAGTTTTTCAGCTGACCTTTCATCTACAACTGCAGATAACCTCAACAGTGATCAGAATAAATATGAAGAAAGTGACACCGTATCACAAGGTAGCATGGAAAGCTATCACGATAGTCTTACAGAAAGTAAAATAAGTGAAAACTTTAATCGAAATACAAAAAATGTTCTTCAAGAAAGTTTTTCAATATCGCAAATCCAGGAGGAATATGAAGAAAACGATGAAAGCAAACATTAGAATAGTTCTATGACTTTTGAGACTTCTTAGTTGATAAATAAAAAAACACTATGATTGGTTGAATTTTGTTCAAAAGTTTATCAAATTAAACAAGATATTTATTTTTTCTTGTTTTTAAATGGATCAATTAAATTTTGCAATTGAAAGCAGCCTGATATTGAGTATTTGTAACTGCCTTGTAGTATAAAATGCTTTTGACATGATTGCTGATTAGGCTTACTGGCATTGAATTTTAGATAGAAACTTCAACGTGAATGGCTCATTTTGAAACAAACAAATTATTTTTTAATGTGTTGTGACTTATTATTGATACGCAGTTATAAAAAAAACTCTGAATAAAAAGCTGCAAGAAACAGCCATTTGAGTATTAAACTTCCGATAAAATATATTTTGTTACAACTACTATATGTCTTACAATTACCAAAGAACTCAAAAAACAATCGAATTTAATTCAACAATAAACTAAACAAAACTATTGAACAATACCAATATGAATAATTTGAAAAGTTGTAGTTGACTCGTCCGCCAGGAAAGATATCCATTTACCCGAGTCGGTAGATGAATTAAATTTTTTGAGATATATTAAAAAATAAACAGGAACCATAAGTGAATTTTTATCAATCTTTTTAGCAGCATTTAATAAATTATAATATTTTGTTTTAAATACAAAATTATTTTAAAAATATATAGAAAACCTTAGCAAATACAACACACGATTTCATTCTTATCACTCATCGATGTTTTTATTATAAAATTCTGTAAAAGCATAGTTGGCGAAAAATAAAAAGATTCAATGTATTTGGAGTTTGGACTAGAAAGTTGTAAAAAAAAACTAAAATTTCGTACTGTTGGAAGAATTACTATCTTTTTTAGATCTGAATTGGAACAACTTTTTGCCAGCCTTTTTATCTGGATCAGATTTTTTATTTAACTTTGATTTGTTTTTATCTTTTATTTTTCTTGTTTTTTCCTTTTTGTTGTTTTTTTCTGTTCAATCAAATTTTAAATTTTCAAATAACTATCAAAAATTAAAAAAATTAATGTAGTAAAAATGGTTTGGTATTAACCTTTTGTATACAGCGTTTCCAACATTCTATCCTCTTCCAAATATCTGCGTTATAAATGTTATTAGATGCGTTAGCTACAGAGAGCAAAATTTTTTTTCTTATAAATAGTTTTTGAAGAAAAATTGCTAGTTACGACATAATTTTTTTAATATAACTTACTAACAAAGATTCTTAATGTGAGAAGCTTGATGTTCAAATATAATACAAATCTATAACAGTAATCAAATTTTATCAAAAAATAACGACTCATGACATTCTAGAATAGTTTCTTGTTTTAAAAACCATTAAATAAATTTCTGACTTAGACGTTATTTCAATTTTTACAAGAGATTGTTAATAATATTTTATTCGTTGAATCAATCATAGCCAAATGTTTCATGAATCAATCATAGCCAAATATTTCACTAGCCTCAATCTGTCAGCCTCGATTAAATCAATAATGCGATTTCTCATTTGAACTGTTTTATTTAATTCTTTGAAAAGTTGCTCCTCGTACATTTTATTCTCATCGGATTTCACGTCGTCTAAAAACAAGTTTCAATTAATTAATACACATATAAACTTTGTTAATAGTTAACAAATTTTTGGTAATGTATAAAAAATATAATTTCAAGGTAATTTTCCAATAAAGATTTAACAAAATTTGTCATCTGCAGATGTTTTGTTGAATAAATTAAATATAGGATGATAGCATATACCTGCTAATAAAGTTTAGTTTGGAAAGATAAAGAAAAACCTACCAGGAATACTAAGCTGACATCTCAGTTGATACTCTAATTCCTCGTGCTGCTTTTCAAGTTCTTGCTGATTTTTCCTAAAATGGTTAAAATAAAATTCTGTATTTCTTGTAACTTAATCATGTATTAACTCTAGAAACAATTTATTATATATATATATATATATATATATATATATATATATATACAAAATAAAAATAAATCGTTTCAACTGTGGCTTTCTATAGTGATGCTAGCAATAAAATTGGATTTTCAACGACCATCATCCAATCTGCCCTTCAAAGACCTAGAACCATTTTCATTCAACATGTTTCTACATGATGTTATCAATAGGAATACACCGAAGTTCGGTCCCGGCCCTGGCCAAAATTTTGCTTTTTTTCAAATCCCCGGCCGGATTTGGTGGCCGGATTTAAGCGTCTATCAACATTTAAAAATGTTATAAATATAAAAATTTTTTTATTTAATTCAATTAATTTTTTGTCAATAAGTTAAAGGCTAAGCATACATGACACAAAATAACAACATCACTAATTGTGAGATGAGCTGGACAATTTTCTTAATGCTAAAACATGGGTTATGCAAAAATTATAAGCTGATCTTTGTGTAAAAGAAATTGTGCACGTGCATAGATGACACATAATAACAACATCACTAATTGTGAAATGAGCTGGACAATTTTCTTTATGGTATAACATGGGTTATGCATAAATTATAAGCTGATCTTTGTGTACATAATTTGGCGTATCATATAGCTTATTCGTATATTTAAATTAATAAACTATTTGCTTAGTGTTATTTTTTGATGTTCAACATGTAGATAACCGTAAATGTGAGTATTTTCTCTAACGCATGTAAAATGGTAACTAAAATCTGGCCCTGGCCGGTTTTTGAATTTTAAATCCGGCCAAGTCTTGAAAAACCTAAATCCAGTGCATCCCTAGTTATCAACCAATTTTCTACAATAAAGACGTCATTATTAATTTAAAAAAACGGTTGAATCAATTATCTTATGAAGAATTACTTGTAAATTAATTGATTTTCGTCCCTAACTAATTCCGTTCTTTGCTTCACCAAGTCTAGCCATCTCTTCATCGTGTCATCGTCCATTCTTTCATCAGGGACACCTTTTAATTTAGGTCGTCGTTACATACAGTATTGTTTTAAAGATTTAATAACTTGAATTGAAAAAATTACTTCGGATGATATTTTCCAAATTTTTTCCTGTTTCTTCAATTTGAATCAATTTCTTATCTAACTCTTTAAGCATTATTTCAATTTCATCTTCAGACATTGGTTCTTCGGCAAAAATCTTCAAATACAAATTTCACAAAAGAAAAATCACGATATTTCAATATGAAAATTTTGCTAACCTTTCTTCTGGTTGTGGTTTTGTAATATTCTTCATATTCTTTGAAGTTTGGTGGCGAGGGAAGAATATTATTTTTATTAATATTAACATCATCTAGTCGGTTTGTTGATTCTGCTAACTTTTTGTCATACGATAAATTTCTTTCAATTGCATTTTTAAACACGTTTGTAATGGAGCTAGAATGTATAGACGGAGAAGATACTGTTGCTGCTGTTGTTGTTGTTGTTGCTGTTGTTGTTGTTAATGTTGTTGTTGTTGTTGAAGAAGCTAGCTGATTAACATCCTCCATGTTCAATTTTTTAGGCCAAACAAATTTCAATTCGCTCTCCTCGTCCGGTTGTGGTTTCAATGAGTTCAGTTGAGATTCACGCTTTTTCAGTGGCTCAAGAAGCAGTTCAGATCTAAAAACATTATTTTTATTATTTCTCATTTCCAACTTTTCAGTTGTACCAATATCAGAAAGGTCTTTTTTCAAATTCTTTTCATGTTCATTTTTGTGTTTTAATTCAGTTACGTCACTTGTTTCTTTAGCTGATTTTTCCAATTCAAATTTTTTTATGCTGACAAATGTGTTTGGTGTATTTTGCGTTAACTTAGCGGTACAAATAGGTTTTGAATTGCAAAAACTAGTAGTCACAAGATTTGAATGTTGCATAGATGAAGACAAAACTTGTGATAAATTTATGCTCGGTTTGGATGTTTTTGATAATACTGGATTTTTTACAACAGGCAAATTTTCAGAAAAGTTTTTCTTAGTAATTTCACTTTTGGTGTTTGAGAATTTTTCAATTGCGTTATTTTCGGTTTTATTGGCAGAAGTGATTGATGAGATTTGCGCTTTCTGCAGTTTATTCACATTTGAGTACGTTTGATTAAAGTTGGTTGACTGCACACTGTTGTTAAAAGAGCTAGGCGATAAAGTGGCAACAATATGTTTGTTGTTGTTGTTGTTGTTGTCCTTAGTATTTGGTGCGCTTGTTGATGACGTCATCAATGATGACGAATAGGGAGAAAATTTGGAAAAACGTTTGGAAGTTTCATCGGAAGACACCATTGCTTCAGGAGTAGTTCTCCAATTTGGATAAGCCAATGAGGATGATGTTGATGATGTCAATGATGTCGTTGTGGATGATGACGATGTTGATGTCGAAAATGGTGATGTCTTCGATGATGAAGGTAATAATACTGACGACGATGATGATGTTACTAAGGAAAACGTTGAAGGTGATGTTGAAACGAATTTTGAATAGTATGAGGGTCGTGTCGTTGGCGCTGAAAAAACTGATGGTTTGTTTGTTGATGGTTGTGAAGCTGACGACGGAAATGATTGTGAAATTGATGAGGACTGAAAAATGATCATTTGACTGGATGCACTCGTTGTAAGAGGTTTTGTCAGATTTTCTTTATTCAACGATTTATTCAAATGAGACGATATTATCTTCAATGCATCACATTTCTCTTTTGTTTTTGTTTCAGTTACCGGCACTTTGCTAACGTGACAACTTTCAAAAACTGATTTGATATCCTTGTTCCTTTGGAGGGTGGACTGGCGTTCCATCAGCCGGGCACACTGTCTGTGGTACACTCTGCCCTCTTGAATGTGGCGCTCCAGTATATAAACCTTTTTTGAATAATTAAATTTTATGATGATGAAAAATTAATAAAACTTCATATGTAAAATATTTCACCTTTTGACCGCATTTGTGACATTTGTCGTCTAACGTCCTTTTCTTGGCGGCCTGGTGAAATTTAGACAAAAATAAAATGGTAAACTTTTATTAAGCCAATGAACACGGTTGAGAAAACATTAAAAAATACTTTACATTCAATAAAAAAAATCAAAACATATGCTGCTTCTAAAAAATTACTTGATCAGTTTGCTGGTTAATCTTTTTTCCTATTGACACATCTTCGTTGAAATTAGAAGTTCTTTTTAAAACCGTTTTGACTTTAGAAGCATCACCTGTTTTATTTTGTCCATGCATTTAGAACATCATGCCAAGTTTTTGACTGGTAAATATTCAGTAAAACAAAGGACGACACATGATAACAATTGTATTTTTAAGCGCTATGAAAAAACTGCAATTTAAATTTTAATTTGTAAATTTTGGCAAGACAACAATTGGTAATTCAATGCAGTTAATACAATTTTCATACAAATTTAACTTGTTTTACAAAGATGCTAATACTATTAATTATTGCTTTTATTAATGTTATTGCCTAATACTATTAATTATTGCTTTTATTAATGTTATTGCCGTTGTTCAATTGCCATTATAAACTAACGGCGAATTTCAGTTTGTGTAAAGGTAATCGTTGTTTGGCGTGTCGTTATGACACAAATGAAAATAAATAAATGAATAAATAAATAAATAAATGGATGAATGATTGGATGGATGGATGAATGAATGAATGAATGAATGAATGAACGAACGAACGAACGAACGAACAAACGAATGAATGAATGAATAACATTACCTTTAGGCATATTGTGGAAATAATTGTAATACTGTGAGACGTAAGTTATGATGCATAACTTATCGGGCACCGTCATTATGACCATGTCTTCTGGATCAAGTAGGGCAGGAATGCCGAGAGATAGGGCAGTGTCAAATGCCTGGATGTAAATGTCCATTCGAATGATAGATGAGGATGGGAATGTTTGTTGTAGATGTAAAAATGAATGTGGACGATAGATAGATGTATAAATGTGTAAAATGATGTTGATCATTTTTTGGCATTTGTATATGAGTGGCAAGGATTAGTCATTGGCTTGCTTTGTTTCTTGTAAAATTGTAAATCGAATGCCATTCAAAATCATAATTTAATATTAAAAAGTTATTGATAAAATGAGACAGAGTGAAGAAGCATTGTAATTTGTGAACATAACTTATCATTTAAGTTAGAATGAAATAATTAATAATTTGATTGAATAAACGTCGCCAATAAAATAAAACAAGTGTCAAAAAACAGCAGCCTTCATTCAACAATAACAATAAAACCATTCATTCATACAAAACACTCATAAAAAGACTTCAAGTAATTTCACAAACATGACGTTAGTAACATCTTATGACACTTTACACTTCCCATTAAAACAATACATTTTTGTATTATTTGGGGGATCCATATGAATAACATACGTAACTTAACAAATGTGTAAATATTGAATAGTATATGGAGAATGTCTTTAAATAAACGATTTAGTTATTTATATATTTGTATTATATGTATAGGCATGTATAAAATTGTATATATACTGTGTGTGCGTGTGCGTGTGTGTGGTTTACTATATACGGTATGACAATTCAATTTAAGTTTGTGTTCCGTATGTGAAAACAACGATTGTTATAATAAAATTCGTCTATTTCCGAAATAATATTAAATAGTTTTGAAAACGGATATAAACACAGCTGACATCTAATATTAACAGTTTATCAAATTTTTAGAATGATATAAGTTATAACTGGGCAAACAAAAATGCTAAATCATTTGATAAGAAGCAAGCAAGCAAATAATAATTGAGGCTCAACTTACCAATTTGCAATTTTCGTACGTGTCATTCTCATTAAGAGAGGCATAGTTTCTGCAAATTTATTTAAATAAGTTTCTTAATTATAGGTACTGTATTAAAAACAATGGAATATTAATTAATTGACTGATTCAAACA